AAAAAAAAAGCAAAGCTTTTTTGCGCGTAAGTCGTTTCTGAAATGCATTTTTAACAAAATCCTTGCCAAACTTGAAACTTTAAAATTGTTAATCAAAACAGTGTTTTCTGACCATTTTATTTCTCTCGCTGTATTTCTCGTTCAAAGATCTATTTTTATTTTACAGTAACCTGGATACATTGAAAAACTGCTTGACGTCAAAGCCATCCTGCTATAACGCACTAGTCGAAATTGGTTTCCAAGCGTCACAGTTTGTTTGCGACAGTCAGCAAGCAAATAGAAGTATGATCACTTTTTAACAACTCGTTTGCTTTTGAGTATTAGTTTTTCAAATCATCACCTTAAATGATGATGATGATCTTGAAGGTTTATTGCCGTGCATGCGAAGAGAAGCTATGAATATCCACCGAGTATGTGAGCGCAGATGTAGGTTTGGTGCAACTGTGATTGATTTGGCTACCCTGAACGCGAAGAGCAGTGACTCAATGAGTGTATACGATAAAGACGGAAATAAAATAGTTTCCTTTCCTGACTTCAGCGTGCTTTGCAGGTACTAATTTTTACTTTTTGCTAACCATTCTTTACTGGCTTTAGTGTAAGTATTGTGAGTTGAGTATGGTTTTTCACGAAGTTAAGCTATTAGCAATGACTTAGTTTGAAAATTTTTGGTCTTTTTTTCTCTTCAAACACTATTTGCCTTTTGGCGTGTAGTTGGTGTAAGCTTCGACATATTATTGTAAAATTACAGGACTTCAGTCTGCTTTTCGCATTGCATGAAAACTGGGTACGAAAGGCGATGTCCTAATACAAGAATGTCGTTTCTCGTAAGCATTTTCATTTGTTACTGTTTAAACCTTTTCATCTTTTTTTCTAGAGCGCTGCTAGTTCACACAAATTTGCTCTGATACTTTACTGATTGCAGGACAAGACAGTTGCAGCAGTGATGCAATATCTGAACCTCAGTGGTTCTGCAGAAAAAGTTAAATTAAATGACACATATACGCTTATTCTTTCCGCTTTTCTGCCAAAAGAATGTCAATATTTTATTGATGAACAGGTCACTCATTCATGGCAATTTTTTTTGTAATCGTTACTGTTCAAGACAAGTAGGATCAGCTGGATTATTCTAGAAGTGTTTTGATGCTTAAAATATTTGAGCAGAATCTTCAGAAAACATCGATTCTTTGTTTGCAAAAAACAGCAGCCAACCGTTCTCGCCTGTATTGCTTTTTCTATGTCTAAAGTATTTCAATTAAGCAAAAATCAAAGAAAAGCAAATAATTTAAGGCAACTTTCGATGAAGGAGTACCAACAGATTCAAGTGTGGTTGGAAACGAATTAACCGAGGGTCAGGGAGACACTGAGGATTTGTCAGGGAATCAAGTCAGATCTGTCAGAGGTGAGTGATAACTCTGTAGTTTGCATGCTAAGTGATATTAGGCTTAGTAGTCAGATAAGGAGCATAACTGAGCAGTGCTCTGATCATCCGGTGTCCAGTGTTAATTTTATCTAGTTGTGTTTGTTCAGAAGTGACAGAAAACCATGGCACAGGTCTTGCAGCTGGGATTTATGTCATTTTTCTGACAATATTGCTGGTTTTAACGTAATCCGAGTAGCCAGTTGCAATTATTGCTCTCTGAGAGATTTCCAACTGAATTTTTGTCGTTCGTTGCCGCCCTTTGGTTATTCAGCTTGTATCGTATCAACGCCACGGTTCCAGAAAATAACATGTGCATTTGTCCTTTTTCTTTTTTGTTCGTCTGTGTGAATTTACTGTTATGTGTATCTTGTGTACTTCGTATGAGGCCTTTCGTGTATTATTTTAGCTAAATAAAATCCTTTGCTTTTCTACGTAATTTTTCTTTGCATATCAACACGCTATTATCTCTTCGGTTAGCCTTGTTCCCACACCACTTTCCTCACTCATTGGATCCTCTACCCTTAACAGAATTTTATCCAAAAATGAACGGTCTTTTTAGCCAAAAGATCTACCATTTTTTTGCCTAGTATGACAGCCAAGTCCGCAAAAATTTGTTATAAATAGCAGAGAAATTTCCTACCGACCGGCGTTTGCAAACTTTCAGCGAGCTTTCCCGTGTTCTGCTACCTTTGTCTGAATACTTCCTCTTCAGTTTCAGCTCTTTTACTCCCGCAAAAAAA